ACAATCTCCTAATTAATGTTTTCTCTTTTCCTTCCATATTTTAATTGACTTTTTCAATTAGGAGCATACTAGGAAAAGATTCTAAAAATTACTTGTTTTAAAATAAGCAATTAGAAAATCTCATGTTCCAATTAGGCTTTCTTTTCTCACACCGACCTGATTCTTGAAATATTTTCTTAGCCAAAGAGGCATGTATTCTATCCCACGCCATGTAATGCTGTGTAATTCTGATAGCTCCCATCTGGTGTTCTGCCAAGTACCTATTACGGTTATTCAGCATCTTTCTTCATCGTGGTGAGAATCAACATTGGTACTTGGTATTAGACTTTTCCATGCTTGCTTATTTTAGTAATTGTAATTCAGCTGTAAACTCTCACCTGTTTCTAACTATCCTCCTTAATCTAAATATTCCCGAAGTAGAAATTATTTTGGGAGGTAGAATAAATTGCACACAGATCTTACATATACTCAGAATTATGTGGGGGTTTTTTAAGTGTTCTCCAAACAATGTAAACTATAATAAAATTAGAGGTATAAAATATAATAATCAGGGTAAATTTTACATATGGCATGAAACATAATCTGATCTTGATAGTCTTCTGTTTAAAAATTTTTCATGGAAATGAAATTCATACCTTTTAACTTCACTTTCAAAGTTGTTATCTAGCTCCACTAGACTACTTCCTGCTTCATCTTTTACCAATCTCTGTCCTTCTCCACCAACCCACACTCCACTGTATTCCATCCTTAAGCTGCTTTGTGAAAGTCCCCAGATGGTATATGCTCTTCCTCTTGTTCTCATTTTGTATTCTGCCCCTCAACACACACACACACACACACACACACTTCTGCTACCACTCACTACTTTGCCAAATTCATTCTCGTCCTTCAGGTCTGAATTTAAATGTCACTTCTCAGAGCCCTTCCTTGATCCACTAGTCTCAATTCTGACTCTCTCCCACCATTCTCTCAGCATACTCCTCCAGAATTCATATGTCAATGTGTAATCAGACATTTATCTGTGTCATTATTCGGCTAGTATCCATCTTCACACCTAGAATGTAGGCTCAGGAAGGGAGGCAGCATATCTTGTGTTTGCTCACCTTCAGTTAACTAGCACTTAGCGCAATACCTGGCACACAGTAGGACTTCAATCAATATTTCTTGAATAAACAAATGAATAAGACCCTGGAGTACACCAAGAACAATGGTGAATGTGATCCAAACCAGTTGATATTTCCATAGCTGGTGTGCCCTATGGAGTGAGCTAAGACCCTGAGAGGGCCTACGTAACTCAGGAGCTGCAGTCTCCATATTAGTACCTGGTGTGAGCCCATCTCCCTGCCCTTCACCCGGGCTCCTATTTCCAGTTCCACACAACACATAAGGATTCTGGAATGGCACCCTCCTTCTCCCTCCCACAGAAGCTGGGCCAGGCCCTTTCTCTACGGCTGTTTCCCACCACTCTTATCTCTCTGGAAACAGCAGTTAACCAAAAACTGAAAGGGAGGAAGAGTTAAAATAAAACCAAAAAAAAAACAAAAAAAAAAAACCCACAATCCTAGCAGCCACAGGAAGACATCTCCAAGACATTTTTATCTTTATGTCTTGGACTAAAATCAGGAAACACTATTTTTGACACTTCTGTTTTGTTCCACTGTGATATACAAAGATGCTTCACATTTCTGCACACTGCCCTCTCCCATTCGGCTATGACAACTTGCTTTGATAATCAACAGTTTTTGTGTGATGATATGTATCCTGACAAATCTCACGCCTTAACAAAAACCTCCTTACAAATTGTTTACTGTGTCAAATAGCTTGTTATATTTGACAGTAGCTTTTCCTTTAGGATTGTAGAATCCTGTAAGATCCCTGAGTAAAATTCTGCTGCCTGGAGTTTCCCAGAGTTTGAATTAGCATTCCCATGGTACAACACACTTAAAAATGTTAATACTAGATTGAACTATGGTTCAGGGTTGTCTCTTTTAAAAATATGGTTACTTACAGAAATACCCTGTAGAATTAAAAGTAATGTTAAATATAAGATACTTGGATGAGTATAACTAAGTCATTAAGTAATTTTTATCATGTTTTGACTTGAAACTTTATAAAAGAACAAAAAGCCTATCAGAATACAACTAAATTTGTTATCTTGCTCTTACTGTAAATAAAATGTCATATACAAATATTTTCCTTTCTTTATAAATATTAACCACAATTACTTTGTGCCTATTCTGTGCCAAGTATTTTTCGAAACCTTGTGCATATATTTACTCATGCAATCCCACAACAGACCTTTAAGGAGAACACAATAATTACTTTCATTGTGCAGATGAAAAACAAATGGATGCACAAGAAATTCAGGTAATTTGCTCAAAGTAACACAACTAGAAAAGGCAGAGCCAAAGTTATGTGATCTGGCATCTGCCTCCAGTCCTGTGAGTTTAACCACTCCTCCATCCTCTTACCAATGAATGGATAAACCCAGGCAAATGATCTCTTTTCACTCCCAAATCCTCACATATCATTTATCTATTATATTATGAAGGATAATGCTAGTTTGTTTGTTTGTTTGTTTGTTTGTTTGTTTTATCTTCCATGAATTTTAACTATGCCTAATAAATAGCCTGGCATAATGATATGAGTCAAGTAGAAATGGATTTAGAATCCAGCTCTATCACTTACCAACTATCTGACCTTAGGAAAGTTCCTTTATCTTTCTAAGCCCACTTGCTGTTTTATAAAATAGGGATCATTATAGCTGTTTTCACGGGAAAATGAGATAATCACATATAAATTGTCTGGCATGTAAGTGATCAATAATATACCTTTCCCCAAGTGTTTAAGTAAGAACACTAGAAAATTACATTCATTCTTATGAAAAAGAAAGTTCCATCAATAAATTACCAATTTGATATTATAAATTATATTCTATTGGCTAAAAACAGTTTATACAGTTCCTTAAGAGTCCCAGTTGTATCAAGAGATAACAACATTTACAACAAAACCATAGTTTTTGTAGCCTAATCGAAATTTTCATGCTCAGTTACAAAACATTACAGAAGACGAGTGATCAAATAGACAATTATCTGAATGAGCAAAACTGAATAGCCAGAGTATAGAGGCATGGATGTCTCACAAATTGCATCCCATTTTATAGAACTCTGCTTTCCCATATCCTCCCATTAAGTGATCTTGTACCTTTGTGAACCTATACGTGGACCTTGTAAACCTGAGTCTTTCTGGTGTCATCTTCCTAGTGAAGTGATTGTGACTAAAGAGAGTTTGGATTGGGGTTGTCAAAGAGAAGCCGGGGTGGTTTAGCTTCTGTACAAGAAATGTCACTGTGCTTAATTCTCTTCTACCCTTGCTGATGGGCAGCAGCTATGTCTTGTATCCCATGGCCACCTCCCATCATATATATGTATTATGAACACCTGACATAAAAGCATCCAATCCAAAAAGACTGGTCACACACCCATGCTGTAGGAGCAGGCACTATCATAATACTTTCTTGGCAATTTGGTTTTAGCAAACTGGAAGACTAAAGCAATTATCAAGGGAGTGCAGAAAGGGAGGAAAAATAAGAGATGTCTCAAGCAAGTTGGTAGGTTGAGACAAGACTCTGGGATGTCACTAAACAGAAAAGTAAAGTTATGATAAAAATTTCTCCCAAAACCTGCAGAGCAAAGTGGATAGAAAGGGAAAGAGAGATTCCTAGACTTCTTTGGTTTAAATTATTTTTAATTACGGTTCCACTTTACCTGTATCTTTACAATAGACCTTCTAACTCTTGACCATGGAAAGCAGAGTGAAACATCCCAATATAAACTTGAGAGTAAGGAGACATACACTAACACTGCCCATTGTTACAGAATTTTATTAGCAGAAACAACCAGTTTCTCCTGATGTTCCCAGTACCCGCCTCTGTGTCCTCCCCATAGAGGGTGACACAATCTTCAATGCTGCTGACAGCCGGGCCTCAGGGCAAGACTGGCTGATGAGCACAGGGAGAGAGCCTGTGCTGCCAAAAGTGCAGCTGACACCAGTGGGAAGCAGAGTGAGAATTCCAGATGTTTAGAATTAGAATGACTATAAACAAATTTATATCCCCAGATCCACCAAGCTTGCTTTTTAAAATTATTTTTGTATGTGATAAACAAACCCATATTCTCCTTTCTTGGTTGCAAATAGACTAATTCTGTAGGGAATGACAAAACTCATACTGGTTAACACAGTTTGCTATTCTTTCCCCAGAAATTATATAATTCACATCAACATGATTCTCTCAATTGGTAGTTTGGGGACTTCAGTATAAACAACACCATTTTCAAATACTCTTCAAGACTGGTTTTAGGCATACGTGCCACCTTTTTCATTTTTTTCACTGTGCCAACTTTCATGTCCAAAAATTTTTTACTATGTCATATTATGACATGCAGCAAACTAATCAGTTGCAAGAGATTATCTGAATTTGTGCCTGGAAGTTTTACCTATGCATCTTGTGACTAAAAGAGTCCACTCTCATACTACCATGGTGCCTTCAATAATTTGAATGAGGGGTGTCTTCAGCCGATCTAAAACACACATTTCAAGAGGTTCTTATTATTACTCCCATTTTGTCATCACTCCAACATGCATAAACTGATGTCTAGCAGGTACAAAGCCTCTTTACTGCCTAGGAGAAGGGTGTGTCTTTACTCTCAGCAGTCACGTTTCTTTAGAGTCTATTGTCAGACACAGAATCCATTAAAAACAACCACAATCTATCTCAGGCAGCTTCTCTACTCAACAGGTTTGAGCCAGGTTGATAATCTCCTAATGCCTGAATCACCCCTTATATGTTCCAACTGTGTTCTATGTTCCAACACATGCGTGCATGCACAAACACACATGGGATCCTTGCCTTTGTATATATATGGAGTGATTATGAAATGGTTGACAATAGAGTTGAAAGCTACCGATAACAGTCCTAAATCCAAACGTTTATTTTACAGGGCCGTTGTTCAAGAGAGAACTGCAAGTATCTTCACCCTCCAACACATTTAAAAACTCAACTAGAAATTAATGGGAGGAACAATTTGATCCAGCAAAAAACTGCAGCAGCAATGCTTGCCCAGCAGATGCAATTTATGTTTCCAGGAACCCCACTTCATCCAGTGGTGAGTACATCGCATCTAATGAAGGGCTTGATGATTAAAGTGTTGGTGTGGGCGATGCCGCATTGACCTTGGGTGGCCTCCCTCTACTTTGTTTCTGGCTACAATTAAAGCAAATAGCTTTGACGCTAAAGGGATGCTGAAAATAGAGTTTTTTAAATTATTTACATGGGGACATGCATGTGGAAACAGTAGGCAAAGACAATTTCTACTCAATATCTGGATGCCACTCTAGCTCTTTCTCACAAGTAAACTCTGTATTTGAACCATCTTAGAATGCTAAGAGTTCTATATTTTCATCTGGAGTATGAATTGATTATCTCTGTGAAGAAGAGGTTTTGATGCCTAAACTTTTTTTTGGCAAGATAGTTGATGGGTAATTTAGTTCAATGCCATCATTTTAAGAATGAGGAATGAGAAACCAGAGGTGTTAAGTCACCTGGCCAGGGTCAATCAACTAGTAGGTAAGTTGTGGTGCTGGGAATGGAACTCAGACATCTTGACCAGTCTGCCCCACCTGGAGCCCGACATCAGCCCAAAAGGATGATGTCTTAGTCACCTACACCTCCTGTCTCTCCGAGGCCTTCTGGCAGCGTGGCAGCACGGCAGCAGTGGCAAGGAGAGCAAGGTTAAATGTATTGTGTTGTGTAATATTCTCTCCCTGATTTCACAGCATTTCAAAGTCCTTCCTTAGCGGTCTGAAATGAGGTCCTGGAGGAAAGGAGTGCATTTGGCTTTAGCAAATTTCATTTATATTTGTGAATTATTTGTCAAAAACAAGCTAATTGTTTTGAAAAAAAAACAAAAAACAAAAAAAAACAAAGCTAGTGAAGTGAATAAAATGTGCTTTAAAAAAAAAGTACATACACAAAAGACTATTGTTTAAAAAGCAGCCTTTGTTGTATGAAAATTCTATTATTGAAAGCTGCTAACTTAAAAGGGATAGCTACCAGTGAGTTGAATTTTTGTATTGTGTGTCTGTGAGATGAGATGGGGAGGGTGGGTGTGGCTTGGGATGAGGGAAGAGAAACTGAGGAACTAATCTGCTTATCTCAAGGTCAAGAATCTGCTTATCTGAAGGACGTGATTGATGGCACAAAGTAGCCAGGAACAAGCTCTACATAAAGTGGGGGGAAAGTGCCAGGCACAGGTGGCTCCAAAATAAATAGGATATAGTCTTTTGGGGATAGACAGATTTGTGGAAAGGGCAAAGGCACAGGGAACTGTGATTTGAATAAGGCAGGAAAGTCTGCTTGAAGGAGGTCCCAGATAAGCATGTCCTAAAAAATGAGTAGAAGTTAGCCTTGATGTAAGGAAAACACAAATAGCATTCTAAACACATTTAACACCAAAAATAGGCATTTAAGTGGATCTATTTAAAACCACACACATGTTTTATTTATGGTTCTCTTTATTGATGTATGGATATAAGTTATTTTTTAAATTACCTAAATGCTATAATAGTTTAGTTACATGACATTAAATAATGTCTATGGGAATAAATTTAGAACAACCAAGGTCAGCATGGTAACACTGTAGTATATATCTCTCTCATTTTAATCATTCACTTCTTATTTATTTATAATTAATAAGGATTGACCCTATTACTCAATAATGGCAATGGCAGTAAGAAAACTCCATTCCTGTTACTATGAGTTGAACTTTTTTTGAAAGTTATGTATAATTTCAAATATTAATTAGAAGTTAATAACCATGATTATGGAAAAGGTACAGTACATTTAAATATTTTAATAGAGATTGTTAAATTATAAGAAGTATTAAAATAAAGTGTGATAAACTTACTCATCAACACTACAAACAAATGACGTCAGAGTCTCAGGGATTTATCAGTGACCTAGCACAATGTGGTAGGCCAAATAGTGACTCTCAAAAGTACCTGGAACTGTAAATGTTACCTTAAATGGAAACAGGGTCTTTGCAGGGTATCTTGAGCTGAGGAAATCCTCCAGGATTAAATGCAATCACCTCTCTTTCTGTCTATTTCACCCAAAGACCTTGCTTTTTATCTGGATAATCAGCAACCTCGGAGGCAGCAGGAGACAGTAGCTGGGATCTGACTAATGGTCATAGTGTCTAGACCCCTGCAAGATAACATAGATGTAAGTTTCTAAGGTGGAACCACCCCCTAGTTACTTTCCCATGAAACCAGGACAAAAGGTCACAAGAACAGACCTCAGAGCTGTCCTCAATACCTGTAGAAATGATTTATTACCCTTATTTCTCCTCTGACCAATCAGCTCCCAGCACGATCCTGAACCCCTAACCTATGATGGCTTGTGATTTTGCCCTATATAATTTGTAATCCACATGCCATTGGAAAGTTCAGACTTTGGCCTGGATGGCACCATTCATAATAAAATAGCCAATATCTGCCTACTGTATAAATAAATAAATAAATAAATAAATAAATAAATAAACAAACAAACAGACAAATAAATAAATGCAATTACAACTACCCTTATAAGATAGATATAAAGGGAGAGTTGACACAGACTGAGAGGAGAAAGCCAATGTGCCCACAGAGCTTGAAAATGGAGTGATGTGGTCACAAATCAAGGAATGCCAGCAGCCACCAGAAGAAAGAAGAGATGAGGAACCCTTTCTAGAGACTCCAGTGAGTGTGGTCTTGCCAACATCTTGATTTTGACCCCAGTGAAACTGATTCATGATTCCAGAACTATGAAAGGATAAATGTGTGTTGTTTTAAGCCACCAAGTTTGTGGGGATTTGTTAGATCAACCACAAGAAACATGCAGAAATTGCTTAAAATAAAATAGAGTCACAAGTACCACTCCATTTTTAGGTTTCTTTGAAGTTAAACTTCTCTATATTTTTCTGCTGCCTCTTTCTCCCACCCACCCTTAAATATTTTACCAATGATCTTCCTATTTCTAAACAAAAAAGAGTCACTTTTGCCTTCATTATATTTGTTTGCCCTCTTAGTAATATTCAGCTTGTATAACCAACCTCTGCTTTGTGGAACACTCCTTCCTCTCTGATCACTCCTTCCTCCTCCCTCTTTCTCTGTCATGTTCCTCTATGTGTGGAAGCTGCTAATTGAGGTCCCTGGCACTGGGCATGTCTCTCATCTACCTTCTTCTTCTGGGTCTCACCCATTCTTGTGGCTGTAAATCATCTACAGGCTGAGAATAATTCCAAATGTTGCTTCCGGTCCAAACTTCTCTGAGCCTCAGGCTCCTGTATCCAACTTCCTATTGGACTCACCTTTAAATTTCTCACAGGATCTCAGCGTGTTAAAGATCAAATTATTCATTCCACTACATTTTCTTCTCAGTAAATGCAACCAGCAGTTTCAAACCAAAACCAAGCAGACTCTCTCTTGCATACTTTTTCATGTCTATTTCATCAGTAAGTCCTAAAATATCTGCCTTCAAGTTCCAGCACCCTTGTCTGAGCTACCATAAACCTATTTATCAAAATACATTATGGGCATTTCCTTTCTAATCTCTCTGTTTGATTTATTTCAGTGTACCCTGCATATAGCAACCATAGGAACTTTTTAAACATATAAATGAAATCATATCACTCCCTTGCTTAAAATATTTCTATGCTTTCCCATTTCACGGGAACAAAGCCTAAGCATATAACCTTATCTGTGATCTGGTCCTCACCTAGCTCACCACCTCTCCCTGAATCCATTGAAACCAAATCAAACCTTCAGTTCTGTGAACACATCCTGTGAACACACAAAGCTCTTGCTTGCCTCATGGTTTCTGCTCTTGCTGGAAGTATCCTATTACCCTTCACTTGTTAACTTCATCTCATTCATAAGGACTCTAAATCTCTTCCTTGCAATTTACCACCAATCTCCATCACTATCAATTAAATCTCCACATTCTACTTATCCATAAACATGAATTGTTGTTTTGCTTGTTCTTGCCCATTAGAGATTAAGTTTAATAAATGTACACACAGTGTTTTGGCACTGTGTCTATATCAAAAAGTATTTATTAAATGAATGAAAATACAATTCATTCTATCCTATCATAATTCTTCTATCTCAAATTCACTATATTTAAAAATTCCCTGTTATTTTGTTCCTTCTAGCAATCTTTCTCTCCCCGTTTCTAAAAGAATATAACAGTAATTATTCTTTTCATTCCCACCCCATCACACATACAACCTTCATATGTTCACTCAAGATGAAAAAGCAGGTGGGTAGCCTTTAGTAGAGCAGATATTTAAGAACCTATACAATACAGAGCTTGGGGACAAGGTCTTACATTGAATATTCTGCCCTTCAGTAATGCTTCTGGGAGTAAAGGGGGGAGGTATAGGGGTATCATGTTTTAGTTTAAGTGCCAAATACGTACCCTTTGAAGTCAAAGCTTTCTAAAATGTATGAACTCTCATGCTCTTGTTTTCAAGTCAATTGATGAAATTTTAGAGCCATAAATATCTCAGGCCACTTAGTTATTACTCTCAGTACCAAACCTGCCTTGCCACGGCGAAATATCAAAGACCATGTGGATGTGTGTGTTAAATCTTTGAACCTGGAACTATTGATATAATGTACTGTGAAAGAAGAGTGGAGAGTTCTGGGAAGAGAAATCCGGTAATGTGGGGTGAAGTACGGAGGGAAAAAAATAGCAAGACCAGCATTTCAAAAGCTATTTTCTTCCAGAAGACTTGGTTATTGTCCTCTGACCTCTCCAGCTGCAGTTATGCTGAGAGATGACAAGGACCAAATGGATCCTATCTCAGGCAGCCTGGCAACAGCCCTTCTTCAGAAACCATGAGCCAGTTCGCCCAAGCTCTCACTGGTATGCTTCCAGGAACGGAATCATTTGGAGGTGCTGCCAGCTAAGAACCGAATTGAGACACCATGATGTATTGTCAGCCTAGTCTTTGCCTCTGGAAGTTTAATTTGAATTTGGAATCTGGGAACCCATTTCCCAAGGCAGCAGCATCCCACACAGCTGTTCAGAGCAACCCTGCATCTCTCGTCTGTAGGAGGCCCTGGATGACTGTGGGCGACAGTTCCCCGCCAGCACTCTCCCTTTACACTCCAAAAGCATAAGAGCAGCTAGTGTTTTTTCTTCTTTGCTGTTAAGACATTACCAACAAAATCTAGTGACTGCAGAAGAATGGAAATAGCCCCAGTCTTAGAGCCGAGAGTCCTGGTTATTTTGTCCTGTCTCTGCCTTAGCAGCAATGACCTTGGTTAATCCTTTTAGTCTCTACACTAAATTGCTTTCACCTGTGAGACTGTGCAATTCTCACTGCCACACTTGCCTCTCACGGACATTGACAAGATTAAAGAAGACAACGTGTGTGAGAAGGGATTAGCCAAAGAACATATATACATAACCCATAGACGCAGACAACAGTATATTGAAGGCCAGAGGGAAGGGGGGGGGAAGGGTAGGAGCAAGTGGGCAAAGAGGGGGGATAGGGGCATATGTATTAAGGTAAGCAATAAAAATAAGGAAGAAGAAGAAGAAGAAGAAGAAGAAGAAGAAGAAGAAGAAGAAGAAGAAGAAGAAGAAGAAGAAGAAGAAGAAGAAGAAGAAGAAGAAGGAGAAGAAGAAGAAGAAGGAGGAAGAGGAGGAGGAGGAGGAGGAGGAGGAGGAGGAGGAGGAGGAGGAGGAGGAGAAGAAATAAGCTACCAATATAACAGCACAGTAGCCACACAGTAAAGCAAATATATACTAAGACAAACAATCCAATTAAAAAATGGGCAGGACACCGGAATAGACACTTCTCCAAAGAGTAATGGCCAAGAAACATATGATAAAATGCTCAAATGTTTTTACTTTTGAATAATACTTTTTATTATCTATGTTATAACTATTAGCAATAAATAAACTAAAAGATCCATTTAAGATTATTAAATTAGATGAAAAAGTAACATATTTTGGAGAGCAAAATTTAACTAGTTACAATAGATTTGTTGGTATCCAAAAAGGTTTTGGGAGATGAGTTTTGAGGTTCTGATATCCTATTGACTGTCAAGGTGTGCCTTCTATTTGTGTCAACACACTGACCCTGGCTTCCCATGATCCATGGAGTGAGGGTTGGGGATTTGCTTCTGTAGAAAGTGAAAAATGGAGGTGTGGGGGAGGGCTTTTTTCTCTAAATGTTTACTTTGATTAATAGTTTATGGGTTAAATTACACATTTAGTATAAGTTTTTGGGTTTGTTTGTTTTTAATACTTATTTTCCCTCCTCATCTATGACAATGGTCCCCAAACTTTGCCACACAACAGATCCTGTAGCAAAAATTTTTAATGCAAATTTCAAGGCCCCTGCCTAGACCTGTTGAGCCAGAATTCGTGATATCTCTGTTTATGCCCCCTTCCCCCAGGCACTGCTGATATAGCTGGTTCTTTGTATCACGGATCTGTTATGATTTATGACCTCTCAGGATTGACTTTTTTTAAATCCCAACATTAGATAGCCCTTGTACCATTTTAATCACTTGGCTTTGTTTCAATAGCACTAAATTATAAAAGCTATAGTTACTGAAAACCAAAACTTTCTATAATTATGACTCAAAGGGGTTGAAAATAGGAAACATACACATATAAAATTTTGTAGAAAGTCAAGGAAGAAAAAAAAATCCCAACTGCCAGCTATTTCCCATGTTGAGACCTCATGTTGCAACACTCTTCCAAAGTGAAATTTACATCTAAGCCATAAAGATCTAAGAACCACGTGGCAGTGCTGAAGCAGCAGCCCCCCAAGACCATTAGAGTCACCTCTTCCAGCCCCAACCACTCAGTAAAGACTTTCAGCCTCTCCAAGAACTCTCTGCACAAACTATCAGTAATTTACTGTTTTCTAACATGATCATTTGTAAGAGATATTTTTCAGCTATTGCTGTCAACAAAAAATTTGTTTAATAAACATAGATTGTTATTTTCCCCATATGTTCAACAGCTCATTCAGAGCCATAAATAGACAACAAGAATGTTACCCACAATGTATAAATAGAGACATACCATGACAGGGCCAACAGCACAGTTCCACATTAGAAAACTCCATTAACATGTCATTGCAAATATCTGAAAATTGCTCCTAAAAATAAATAGATTAAAAATCATCCAATAACAACAACAAAAAATCATTCAGGTCCAATTCAATGTGAAATTTAGTCTAAGAAAAATCTTTATCTAGCTTCTTAAATTTTTAACATTGGTTGTTTAAAAAGTAAAGCGAAGTTTCTTGTTCTCTTAAATGTATATTATTTCCTTTCTGAAAGGCATATTTTTAGGTGGAGCTTTACAAAATAACCATCCCATCAACCTATTTCTTTTTATCCCTAGACAAGGAGTACAGTGATAGAGAAGTTTAATAAGGTACTTTATGCCTTTATCACTGCTGTGTTGATTATGTGACCAAACCAAATTTCAACCGTCAATTGAAAAAATGGCCACTTGAAAAGCTTTTCATTCAATCTTTTAAAAAAGAAAGGTTTGCCAAAACCGGTTTGGCTCAGTGGTAGAGCATCAGTCTGTGGACTGAAAAGTCCCAGGTTTGATTCCGGTCAAGAGCATGTACCGTGGTTGTGGGCACATCCCTGGTAGGGGGTGTGCAAGAGGCAGCTGGTCGATGTTGCTTTCTCATCGACATTTCTAGCTCTCTCCCTTCCTCTCTGTAAAAAATCAATAAAAAATATATTTAAAAAAAAAAGAAAAAGAAAAAAAAGAAAGGTTAATTCAAGACATACTTAAGCTAGAGGAGAAAATAGCAGGTCTATATTAAAACTGCAGATGAATTTTGAAAATATTCATGCTAATGAATATGGAAACATACTGGTAAGTATGAAAAAAATAAAATCCCAAATAATGTCCACTTTTTGAGAATGTATAAACTTGGTCAGGCTATAATCAGGAGTTTTTTTGTTTATTTTTTCTTTATTCCTCTCTCTTTGAGAGACATGTAGGAGGAATCAAAGACTATGAATCAGTACTCTATAGGTTTTACTACTTTAGTGTTATGAAATTTAATACCTTGGAATGACGAGCAATTAGAGTAAATATATTTTGTTGAGGACACTTTCATAGAAATAAAACTTTAACCTGTTTCCTATATTAGGTTCCTATGATGTTCTCCAATGTTTTTGTATGCTTTTGAGAAGAGAGGGTCTATATGGATTTAATTTTTATTAAGCAAAACCAAACAGGGAAGTTTAATGAACTTATATAGTTCAGAATAGATTTATGCAACTAACACAGAGTCTTATACAAGATGAATAAATTTTGCTCAAATGACACTTGCTGGTGATTTTTTAAAGTTGTATTCTGAACATATCTTTATCTGTGTTGTCTTTCTTCAACAGCCCACTTTTCCTGTAGGTCCCGCAATAGGGACAAATACGGCGATTAGCTTTGCTCCTTACTTAGCACCTGTAACCCCTGGAGTTGGGTTAGTCCCAACAGAAATTCTACCCACCACACCCGTTATTGTTCCCGGAAGTCCACCCGTCACTGTCCCGGGCTCAACTACAACTCAGAAACTTCTCAGGACTGACAAACTGGAGGTACTGTCATTTTATTTGTGGTTAGAAATGCATTTGTGGTAGAAGTGTACTTTTATGTAGGTAAACTCTTGTAAGATATTGCACGCACATTCATCTAAAAGCTATGCATTCATGATTCTTTGTTTGAATTTGAGGCCAACTATAAAGGAAATTAGTCTGTGGGAAAAGAGTACATTTAACACACAAAAAGTCAGCTGCAAAATATTAGCAACCAGCGGAACACTGAATCAATCACTATGGCAGCTATAGTGATGGCTCCTGAGGGTCTCCAGCTGGGCTAGGCTTCAACCTTTGCTGGATTCCGGATTGATCTCCAGGGGGGCAAGTCAGGAGTCCAGAAGTCAGAACAGTAAAGGACACTCAGGGACAAGGATGGGAACAAGTCGGATTACTACTATTGACCAGTTGGTAGGATAGTATTTCAGTATTTTAGCAACTAGTATGGCTGTATTATAATGTTCTAGAATATCAGCCCTTGGTGTGTTGTTGGTAAATGAGGAGGATAGTAAACTGGGAAAATTTGTTGATTGGGACAGTTTCTTCAACTTATATTTAAGTGTTCTATAAAAGTCAAGAAAACAAATACATATATTTATAAAATATAATTCTTAAGTCCTGAGTCAAACCAACCCATCTGTACTTGACTGGGTAAAATTTCTCTTTAATCAGAGTTAGAGGATTCATCAATTTATCTTAACTACTATATCCGGTGATATTTAATAGAGCATTTTATATGGGTGTGTAAAGATTTTAATAGATTTTTCAAAGAGCTCCTTTAATTCCACCACCAATTAAAGTTGTTAGATTATATATGTATGGTTATGATGTACACTGGGCTTTATGTTGAATCCTTCGAGAATGTTCTTTCAAACGTATGTTTGTTTAAATATTCACCCAGTAAATCTTGAGGGCAATAAAATGTTGCTGCCTAATGTCAGTTTCAATCCAGAGTATATGGATTTCCATATGAAAAGACTGCAAACTCTAATCACTACTGTTTTGATCTAGTCTGTCCCTGTGAAATGCTGAACAGACAGTTCATGGGACTAGATAAGTGTTTTGGGCTCCACCTGCTGGACCCATGAAGCTTTAGTGTTCAGTACATGACCGTGTGGTTTTAGAAAACAGATTAAATTAGCTGAATCGAGAACAAACTGTTGTTCCCAGCAGTTCTGATGGACAAAGATATATGTAAAGATGATTCACCATGACTTCAGCAGAGCGGCTTTCAGTTCATTTCAAACAAGGAATGAAGCTGGCTACACACACAGAGGCCTTTGGTAAATGCTACCGGCTGGTCCATACCTCTGATGCAGTCTCGGACTGAAATCATTCCATTTGCAGAGGAAGGCTTACTCAGAATCTGTGGGAACATCTTAGTAATTCTTACTGTGTACATTTCATGAACCAAGGATGGAATGTTGGCTAATATTCAAAGCAGGAAGAAACAATGAACCATTTTGTTACTTAGATCTGTTTACTCTTCAAACTTGCTTGGCAACAGGGATAGGGGTGTTTGACACTGTAGTTCCCAAATGCGTTTGACTGTCACAAGGCTTGACTGTCATATAAGTTGACCCTCATATAACATCACTGATGATCAAGATGTAAATCGCCACTTCAATAGATCCACTTTGGGATTGGAGCCTAAAAAAATAACTTAAAATTTTACTAGTAATTCTTCCCTGCTCATGATATTTGTAAATCTAAGAATTGTGTACATATGTCATTCATGTTATAATATTCAGGGCAGAATTAAGAATACTCTTTAAATTCTAAGCAAAAAAAACAAAACAAAACAAAACAAACAAAAACACTTTATACAGTATTCACCAGAATTTTCAGGGCATGAGCATTCTAGTTACTTGAGATTTCAGGGAAATTAAGGATTAAGGAATAAAAAAGAAACAACACTTCAAACTCTATTCTACTTCCCTTCCTTTCTTTCTCTCCCTTTCCCTCTTTCCACGTTTCTCTCTCTCTCTTTTTTTTTTAATATGTTTATCTTTTTCCTGTGCTGTCAAAAATAGTAATATGGTGACCTTAAATTAAAGTTTTTGGTGGCTTAGATAACATAATTCTTCAGATTCATTATCAGGCTATCTTTGCAGAGCAGGGGAGATCGAGGGGGAAACTGGGGTATTTACCTCCCCGACCCCCCATTTCCCATTCTCAGAGAGGAGGAAGGAGCTTGTCATTTCCCCCTATTCTTTCTGGAGTTGTACAGCTATGACCTGGTGGCTTAAACTATGGTGACGTTATCCCTCCATGCCAAAAACCTATAGCATTCCAGAGTTGTCAGAGTAGAAGATGTGTGTTTGTGTGTGTGTGTGTGTGTGTGTGTTTGTGTGTGTGTGTGTGTATTCTCCAAATTATTATTTTACATATATATTCCAGAGACAGCCTAGGCCTTGTTGATTTTTCTTTGTTATTTTAGCTGAACTGCAGATTTTTGACTTATTTTCTCAATATCCACTCATGCTCAACCTAGAAAAGAGGGCAAGGCAAAACTCAAAATCATTTTTATTAGAGATTCTGGTTACTTGTGTTCTTGATAATCAAACTTGCATTGTAAATGGCACAAAAGCCACCCTTCAAAGAAACAGAAAGGATGAATTCAATTAAAAGACACACATGCACACACACACATACACACATACACACGCAAATAGCTGCCCATGCAGAGGTGGCGTATCTGTGTCTGGTGGCCATCAGGCTCTGTTCTGCATTGTCTGCTCTCGTCCCTCCTGTGTCCTAGGTATGCAGGGAGTTCCAGCGAGGAAACTGTGCCCGGGGAGAGACCGACTGCCGCTTTGCACACCCCGCAGACAGCACAATGATCGACACCAATGACAACACCGTAACCGTTTGTATGGATTACATAAAGGGGCGTTGCATGAGGGAGAAATGCAAATATTTTCACCCTCCTGCACACTTGCAGGCCAAAATCAAAGCTGCGCAGCACCAAGCCAACCAAGCCGCGGTGGCCGCCCAGGCAGCTGCAGCCGCGGCCACAGTCATGGTAAGTGGGGTGCGCCCGCCTCGCACCTTCCTCTCCCCGAGGGCTCCCAGCACCCAGGCCCTGGCGCTCTGCTCTCCACAACAGCTGGGAAATAGGGAAGGCTGCTGTTCCTGCTGCTCCGCTGCCTAAGTTTTGTTGTTCTCCCTCTTTGTTTTGTTTCCCCCTCCCTCCCTTCTTCAGCACAATAAGTAAATCCCTCAGGCACAGGTAACCTAGGGCAGGTGCCAGCGGCCCTCCCCTGGGGCCAACTCTGCTGTCTCAGGCTTGGGTTCTTCCTTCCTCAGAGAGGGGCTCCAGGGCCTCCTGATGAACAGGAAGGTGGGCCCTGGCCCTCAGGAGAGTGGGAAACAGCAATAGGCCACAGCCCTTTGGGGAGCAGACCCTGGAACAGAGAAGTAGCAACAGGTGACCAGTCCATGACTGGCTCTTCCCTGTTCCCGTTGTTTCCCTCTTCCCTTTTAGTGATCACAGGGGCCAAGGGGTTTGCCGAGAACATTCTGTCCCTAAATGAAATTTTACACAGAACACCAAGTCATGAGAGAGATGAACACGGAGCTGGACTGACTGGTGCTTAAAAAATAAATGAGCAATAAAATAAAATATAAATAAATAAACAAATAAGTAAGTAAATAAATGCCTGTAACCCAGCCTCCAGAACTTGTGTCACTTTCCTGTCCCTTGGAGACCATCAGGCACCTCATCATCAGTACTTGAGGGCTGGTCACAGTCCCAAACTCCCAGGCCCAACCCTAAGCCCCACCCAGATTTTAAAATTCAAATATTAGGTGTGTTGTGTGCACATTAACATTTGAGGAGCACCTGCCTAGACCACTGACTCCCAAACTTGGCTACATTTTGAAATTACCTGAAGGGATCTTAAAAAGCTCTAACATCGGTCCCTTCCCCCAAAGTTATTTAGGGCAGTGGCCTTTTTTTCAAAACTAATTCTGATATGCAACTAAGTTTAAGGACCACTAGACGAAGATGTAGAAGGTTCTAATAAATTTGTGTTCGTGGGAGATCTTTGGCTTAGCAGAAGTATGTTTGAATACATGCTTCTCTTGGTATATCAGCTCCATTCTCTAAGACCAGTTTCTCTCTGCAATGCTGACCATGGTTTGCACACCTTACATCTCTGAAGGAACAGAATACCTACTATATATAAGTGGCAGATGACCTGGGTTAATGGGGATAAAAGAAATGGCCACTTACACAAAAAGGTCATTCTTCAGCCTACTATCTTTAAATCAAGACTGTATTACTGTGCCTTTCTGCGCATCCTTATCTCATACTCATCAAGACACATAGATGTTATTGGAGTGACTGTCAGTATGTTTAGTTACCATAGTTTCCTGGATTGTTACATTGTGCCCAAATTTGGAATTCCATCATTTCAGGGAATCTTGCAGCAGCATCAAAGACAACCCAAGGGAATGTAGTTTTAGATCAAAAGCCAGCTTCTTTCTGATCACGATGTGAAAATGACTGAATCTGTCATATCTTTTCAGTGACGTGAGAGACTCACTAGAAACCAGCCTAGGTGCTCTTTGGATATAAAGTTGAAGCATTCTGACTCTAGAATTTTCAAAAGGGGAAAATAAGCCAGACAGAGCTTCTCTTTGGTAACTCGAAGAGTATCTGATCTTCCAGGAAGCAGTCCTGCTTTGCACACAAAAATGGAGCTACATGGAGAGATGCCTATTTTTGTAAAATGTGTACAAGAACTTTGAATTCCACCCTGCTTGCTCACTTCTTTTTGTTCCATGTTAAAGTGGCAGCTCTTGTTATTGCTGTCAGGGTTTCCTCACTCCTCAGATTTGCTTTTGGCCTGTTACGCCTGACCTGGGCCCTTAGTTCGCTTGCCTCAACCTGTAGTTGGATGGTTTCTTGATACAGTCAAAGTAAAACCTGGCTGCATGTGCACATGCTGGAGAAGGCCCAGCAGGGGCAGAGGATAAAAATTATTGGTAAGGCCAGCAAGAATGAAAGCTAAGTGTCTGGCACATAGTAGGAACTCAATTGAAGAGAACCTTTCTCTGCATAGGTGACTAAGGAAGCTCCCAAGATATATTGGGTTTGGTGATCTCTAAAGTCTGTTCTAATTCTGAAGAGCTTTCAATATTAGTAAATAATATCAGTCAAATTATATCCTCTACATCACAATATCTGTGTCCTATAATGCTGTGTGATAACATGATTATTCATCCGTACAGATTTCTAAATGCAATCTACTCATGTGCCTTAAAGGGTGAGCTGGGTGAGACATTACTATGTATGCTTGATTCTCCCAGAAGACAAGCTGTTTGCATCTAGTAAAGATAATCTACAATATGGAGTGGTAGAAAACAAGATGCTCATTATCCAGCTCAGTTTAGAGTTCTGGGTTTCTTTACATTTCTAGATTATTATAATTTCTATGAAAATTATGTTTCAGAAAACTAAGATCAGAAAAAGAGAAACTGTGTACCTCCCAAGAAATATTGAATATTTCCTTTTCTACTTGGAGACTTTATTAAATGGTTCTTTCTTAAATCAAAATGTTGTTCATCAATATACTTCTAGTGAACATATCTCGTTAGCATAAAGATCAACCCAACAGTGGGTGTGTTCTATAACTCCCAAGGACCGAAAAAATGAAGGGAAGAATTGAGGTCGAAATGATCTTGAGTTTAGCCATCCAGTTAATGTTCTCAGTGCACTTGGAGAATAGGCTAATGTAACCTTATATAGTTAGCACAGACGAATTCAAGCTAAAAAAAAAATGTATTAATTAGCAACATAAAACTATACAGGAATGAAAGTTTAAATAAAAGTGGTGTCATGGAAGCTACATAATGGAGAGTTTACATTTAAGGAAAGAATATTCAGTATAAAGAAGCTTTCTTATTATGGAGCTTGTTGGTTTTTAAAAACATTCACAATTACTTTTAGAACAATGATTTCATAATAGCTGATGGCCTCTATAGAGACTGCCATCCAAAACATTTTCCCCATTGGCCATTCTCAATCTCTTCTAGCCTATAGTCCTTTCCACTTTATTTCTAACTCTTTCCCCACCCCATACCTCTTCTACACAATGATTTCTTATTATTTCTATACTTTTAATCCTGAGTCATCAAATGATGATAAATAACCCTTTGTTTTCCAAGGAAAATATCATTTATTGTTTCCCACTTTGAGAGTTTAGTACTATCTCAACTTATTTCAAAAGCCATGGTTCGAATTCAGAACATTAGAATATAAATTTATATTTGTTATACAAACCTTGGGGATTTACCTATTGTGCTAACCATTGAAAATGGGCCCTTCATTTTTATTTGCATTGGAGCTATTCTTTTAAATTTGTTTATTTTCACAGAATTTCATCATCAAATTTTTAGATTTTTTTACAATTACCAAGGAATAGAAAAAAATTTTTCATTGTGGTCTAAAGCAATCAATATTTGTTATTATTTCAGCTGTTTAAATGAAACTGTCTGACCAAAAATATGATTATGAGATACTATTTTACTTCTATTATTTCAAGCAGTACTTTGCCATTTTTTAGCTGTTATTTTTAGCTATTGTATTTGTTCTAGAGTTCTACATATCATTAACTGGGTTGGTGGCTAATTGTAGTTAAAAGTACAAGTAGAACTATTAAGTATAAATTATTTTAATACCTGAAAATACTAAATACCTTTTTAAAAGGTATTTTATTAGTATAATCTGGTAAGTTGTTTGAGATAAATTGAATTCTAATTTCAAATATAGTGGAAAACTTAGAATGGATGATAAGTTAGTCATTAGAAACAGTACAATGGAATGAAAGAGAGAAATTTGAAAAAATTACTATTCAAATTCAAAACTTGTTAAATTTGGAACCTTATTCCAATCCATGCTAGCAGAGTGAAGAGAAGAATTGAGACAATTATCCACATGATTCAGACAAAAAATTAAGATCCAAACCCAAACAGTTTTGCCGAAATAATCTTGTGTTTGAATATATTTTTTGCCTGAATTTTTTTTTTGTCTCAGTTTGCCACTTCATTTTGTTAGGCTAGATCTTCATTAAAATTATATTTATGCAATTTAAGATATTATATTTTTTTACTTGGGTCCTATGTATTTTGTACATTGATTACTTCATTTTTGAAAACTAACTTATCAGAAGTTCTTCAATCCTATGGCCCTTGAAAGTTTTGCTTTTTTTTTTTTTTTTTTTTTTTCTGAAGCAATATAAAAAATGCTTATGGTGTGTATGCAAGCTGCTGTTTTGATTAACTTTCCTGAATTTCAAACATCTATATTTTACTCTCTTATATGCTTTTAACTAAGGTATAGTAGATGCATTTTTTGCTTCAATACTAATTTAAGGTGTAATATTCATTTCTTTAGAGAACATTTTTGTTGTTGTGCATGCCTAGTGTTTTGTACGTTGTATATTGCATTCAGAATATTTTTTTCCTTCTCACCTATCCACAATGCAATGCCGTTCCCATGATGCACCTCTGCTTGCTGTTTACCTGTATGTTAATTCGCTTGAATCCCATTGGCCCACTGCCATCATGTGCTCGCTGCCTGTTATTAAAAGACTCAGTCGACTGCCAAAGCAATGAAGCGACCTCTCGAAGCATCTGTAGACCTGGTACTTTGACCTTTCACCTTTCGCTTTGCATGTAGCCTTTCAGAGAACCATCTGAGATTTGTATTACTTGTAAAATATTGGTTGCAAAAAATCATTATTATTAATTAATGAAAAATTTAATAAGATGTTTAGCCATCTCATTTTCATATATAATATGTAAAATAAATCAATCCTAACAAATGTTAATACCTTTTCCAAAGGAGTAAAGAAATTTAAATTACTTGGCTCATAAAGTGCTCATTATAATTTTTATTAACATTTAAATTCAAGAAATGATCATTTAGTTAAAGAAAAAAATAGAATTAATGATAACACAAATGCTTCTTTCCTTCCTTAGAATAGTTTAACTCATTTATAAAGCTGGAGCCATTTTTTGTTGTTGTTGCTTGATAGTTTTTCTTTTCCTTAGTTGAGATGCTACTGTTTTGGATTACAGAAATCATGCTTTCGCTCTCAATAACAAATTCTCACTCATTTGACATTGCCGCTGTTTAAATTAAGGTGCATGGCACAGGCATCTCCTTAGCTGCCATTTAAAAAAAATATATTGTAATTAATGATCTCTGTGGACACTGAAATTGTATTTACTTTGAGTTATACATATCATATCCGATTCTTCACTTATAGGCCTTTCCACCTGGTGCTCTTCATCCTTTACCAAAGAGACAAGCACTTGAAAAAAGCAACGGTGCCAGCACGGTTTTTAATCCCAGCGTCTTGCACTACCAGCAGGCTCTAACCAGTGCACAGTTGCAGCAACACACGGCGTTTATTCCGACAGGTATGTGCCCTGACCCTTCCAAGTCCTGTGTCTGTGTGCCCTTCCAGTCATGTGCTTTCTTCTCATTCCTTTAAGCTGTTTGGTGGCATCTAATTTTCTTTTAAAGGTACAATAGATACAGCCTGAAACTCATCATTGTCCTAGCTATCTATATATATTTACCTTGCTTGCAATGATAGCTATGGACTATTAGGATTCTAAAGCCAAATATTTTAAACAGTTAAGTGACAGATTAAACCCATGGGAAGCAAATAGCCTAAGCCTTTTGGTTTCTTGTATTTATACATGTTGTGTAAAATTGTTTATGTCAATAAGGCCTTCTATGTGTGACAATTGAAATTTGTCATTAACCCTGAGTGACTTTTTTTAAAAAAAAGCAATTCCTGTAAAATACTAACCTTTTCTTTTCTATTCCTATTCAGAGCACTAAAAAATGAGGCTATTCAAATTAAAGCAATCCTCTATTCATATTTTTATATCCATTCTATGTCTTTCACCATTCTTCTCAACTTCCACAAAGTTTACAACATAGAGAGCCAATGCCTGATAATATCAGATACTAAGATGCATTAACTCTATCATTCCACTAAAAGATGAATCATTTTAATCATAGAATCTTGAAGTTAAAAGATTACTATTGACCTCCTCATCCAGTTGATTCTTTTACAGATGAGAAAACTGAGGTGGCCCCCCCCCAAAAAAAATATAAAGTGACTTCCCAAGATGGCAAAAAAACCACAAAAACCCTAAAACCTAGCTTTCCTATGATCAGTCCAATATACAGGTCATGGCACTCCTGGGTCTCCATATGTGGAGGGCACAGAATCCTCCTTTAAAGCTTGGTATAAACCGTAAAATATAAGTGAAGGGACAAAAGTACAACGCATGTCAACCCTCCTCCATTTCTACCCACCTCCCCAACCACAGACTTACATACACCATACACAAACACAAGGAGCCACCATAAATTGATTGTGGTTTTGACCTGTAGTCTGTGTTAGAATCAGAACAAGAAATATTATTCTCATAATATTTTCTAGAGTGCCAGAAAACAAAAACACAAACCAGAGTCACTTAGGCCTTAGTGAGAAGACTGTCCATTGTGTTCTTAGTTTCAAAGTCAAAATTTTCATCCCATGATAGTAACGTAAAGGTAAATGTAGATGAGAAACAATTTTATCAAAAAGAGTTTGTTGATCCTAATCCATGTGATTGGACTTTTCAGGTTTATTATCTATTCCCTTAAATCTCATAATATATCAAGAATTAACATAGGAGGGAGTTGAATAAATATTTCTATGTATTCTTTGTATACAATTTTATACTTTGAAATGAATTACAACCTGTTATAACAATATATTTTATAGTAAAAATATAAATTACAGGTAAAATGGTTCTTAGTATTTAGTTTTCTTATTTTAGTTCTGCTCTACTCTTAAAAAATGTTCATAGACCTGTAGAGTCAATCTCTAAGTCAGTAGTTATTAGGGCTTCACTTTTATTCTATTGCAATCTTAATTAGTGCCATTTCAGTGCAGTTATAGCACAGCAGTATTTGCACATGTAATCCATTGGATATGACATGTTTGTAAAATAATTATTAGAAGGTAAACTTACCTTAAGGTCCTGTGTGATTTCTACAATGTCTTATTTTATAGACCCTATCACTAGATATTTTAGGAGGAAAAAAAATAAGGGAGAATATACTTAAACATAAAAAAAAGTCTGTTTCTGAAGACTGGATAATAATGCCACTAGCATTTTCTGGGCATGTCTATAGAAATTCTGGAGCTAAACCATGCAAGAGACTGAAGCCCTCTACTTCATATTTAACATTTCAATCCCATAATGATTGATTTGCTAAAGCACTGAAAGAATCCTCATTTTAAAATGGTTCTCCTGGACACCATTTAAAGACTTCAAAAGCAAGAATGAATATCATCCCTTATGCAACGACTTGATTATAATTGATGAAATGAATTGCATTGAGTACCAATAGGCCGAACTGGCTGCTATGGTTGTGCTCTTCTGCCCTCTGCTGGATTCTTTAAGAACTGTTCAAGTGTGTCCAGCAACCCTCACTTGAGTAGACCTTTGGAAGCCATGTTCATTTAATTCTGTGAATTATTCATGATTCAATTATATTAATATCATAGTTAACAAACATGTGGATCTCATTTTCTGAAATAGTATTTTGACTTCTAAGAAGTTTTCACATGTTTCTCTTAAAGGATGAAAGATGAAATAGTTTTATCACAAAGGAATTAACATAATCTCCCCCCCCCACACACACACACATACACTTAAATCCATAACATAAATTTCAGTGTTTATTTTGCCTCTAGTTTTTATTTTAGGCTTTCTTTCTCACAAATCACATTTTCAGCCTAATTTTAAAATGATAATGATAATGTTCATTGTTAATCAGTATTGTTTGAAACCTCTGAAAATTAAGTGATGGTGTTCAAATGTATTTTTTGCAACTTAGTAAATGGTGGGCCCATTATTTTTAAACTGACACATTTTGATTTTTTTAATAAATACTTTAACAATTGTCATAAATATGAAACAAAAAGCATTTTTTTGTTCTCCTGGAGGTTGCTCCTTATAGACAGGTCAGTCATAGTGAAGTTTTTTGATGTGCTACTAAAATTCTCCCATTGACACATGTGAATTTGGATTTCAGAAATTCTGCCTTCAATCTTTGGAGATATTAACGTAAAATGTTATGCAAAATATAGAATTCTTCTCCCAAACCTGCTAATGTAATTATCACCGTGGTTGATGCCCTAGCACATTTTCAGTGGGTGGGAGTTTTCCTCTTTTTTGCTTTTTTTTCCTTTTTTGATAGAGATTATTTTAACCTAGTAGTTATACTTTTCCTTTGCTATATTAGGAAAGTGGCAAAAACCACACACATTTACAAAAATAGGAGCATAATAGTTCTTGGCATTTCTCTGACAGGTTTATTCTGAATTACTGTAAATGTTCTTACAGATATTACCACATTATTCTTCAAAATAGTTCTGCCAGAGCCAGGCATAATTATTTGCATTTTGCAGATGGAAAAACTGAGGCTGTGTCTATGCTGCAAAGTGGAATATATAATTGATGGGATTATCCAGATAATTCTGATTCACAGATTCTAGAGTTGAAATATTTGTGCAACTGAAGCAGAAAACATTTGAGGCTTTGATGATTAGAATTAGTGCCTTTGAGAAACTCTTCAGCCAGTGAGAACAAAGATGACCCACTCACTCCCACTTTGATTTATTTTATTATATTGGAAATAAGGAATAAGTAGAACATGGAACAGTGCTAGCACAAATGTTGCCTAGTGATCAGAAACCATAATGTTACATAAGGTTATCACATATCTTTATGAAAGATTTGTCAATGTATAGCAGAAACTATATCTACATAAAACCACAGCAAATTTTATATATTCTTTTCAAGTTGGTAAACAGTTATTGAACACATAATGTGATCTGGGTTCCAGAACCAGTAAAGGGAATACAAATGTGTTCAGAACTAGACAAAAATGAAATATAAGGCAAAGCATGGGCTTTGCTAGAATATGAACAGAACTATTAGAGAGTGAAGGAGAAAAAGGCATGTGATGTGACTGGTTGACAAAGGATGTGGAAAAGAAAGTCTTTTCATAGGAGAACTTTGCTTAGCACTTTATAAGGAAGATTTAACTAATGAAGAAAGACCATTCCTAATAGGGGGAAATAGCATGTCTTGGTCAGAGTATATTGAAAAATAGCAAGTGGTTCCTTGTAGTTGTAATGTAAAGTAGTTAAGGAACTGTGGATGGGTAGAGAGATCAGAGTGGAATGAAAAGGCAAAGATGGGACTTGGAAGCAAGATCAGGATGAGATGTGTTTCCAATATTCATATCACTTTTAGGCCATGTGGAATCCGAGGTTCATCAAATTAATGTGGCTGAGCATTCCAGCCTTATCCTGAACTGGAGCCATGTGATGTGTCCAATCCTAGCCCAAAATGGTGGCAGGAGCTGCTGCTGACGGTTTGCAAACCAATGATATTCACATGCAAGACACAGGAGGGCCCTGCAAGAAAGTTCCTCCTTATTGGAATGAAGAGGCATAACATGGGATTTTTTAGGGATAACTTTGAGTCCAGCCATGGTTGATTTAAAATCAAGTCTTTCACAAACTGGATGCTTTAAATAAATTTTAGGAACAAATTGCTCCCATCACACTGTCATGAATGACTGAGAACATTCATTCAACCAATTTTCTGTCTACTGTGTAGAGAGACCTAGACAGACATAAATAAACCCTGTTCTCCCAGAGGACAAGATGGATATTCAATAAATGAGAAGACAGATGGATATTCAAGAAATACCCATATAAATATATAATTAAAAATTGCTATGAGTACTATGAATGAAGAAGTAAAGAGTTCAGTAAGATTTAAAATAGAAAGCTGATTTAAAATGGCCTATGGAAGTAGGTAAAAGAACAATTGAACAGTTTTCTAAAGAAGTAACATGTACCATTAAACTTGGAAGATGAAAAGAATGGGGTAAACATTATTCTAGTCAGAAGGGATAACTTGCGGGAATCTCAAAAGTAGGACAAAGGTGTGCTATGTTTAGTTCAAAGAAATGAAAGGCTGTTTCATCAATTGAAAATCAATAAACTTCAACCTGTCTCCTAAAAGAAAAAAAAAAGAGAGAAATGAAAGGCTAAACTGTCTGGGTCGTGATTCTAGGAGGACTGGGGTATAGGACAAGCTGAGGAGATAAATAGGACAGGACCATAGGTGGCCTTTATCCTAAAAGCAACGGGAAGGCAATGAGTCATTTCCAGCAGAGAAGTGAACTGAGCTGTATTTGGAAAGGTTTACTCTCCCAGCAGAGTGGAGATTGGACTAAGCCAAAGCCAAAGAGAGAAGCAGAAAGACAAGTTAGGCTGTTACTGCCTAGAGGTAATGGTGATCAAAACTTGCGAAATGGCAGTAGAGGTAGA